GCCAAGCGCCAAGCCTGCGGGGAGCGCGGGGACTCGGGGACCGAGGAGCGGAGCGAAGAGCTGCGCTCCCCGGTGGAGTTCAGCGGTCGCGGGCAGTTAACGCCCTTGATCGCTCCTCCTGTTGGCGGGGGTGGGTGGTGGGTGTTGTTTTTAGACTTAAGGTGCGTTCGACGATGCCCGTCGGTCTCCCTAGTCCGCTGCGCAGAACCGTCGGGGTGAGGCCCTGGTCATCCCCCGCCCCCACTTCCATTTCCTTTCCCCGGGCTTTTGATGTCGGGTTATTCTGGTGAGAGTTGCGTTGCACTAAATATTTGACTGTATTTCTTGCTCTTTATGCCCTGACGCTTTTTTATTAGTACATGTTTGGAGTACATCCTGATTACAATCATTGTAGGAAGTTGGTGCAGGTGAATAATGTATCATAACTCTCTGACACCAGGTTTTGAAGAGTTGCTTTCCCATACAAATCTAGTTCCTTGCTTCCAGGGTTGCACTCACCGCTCCTCCCACCCTCTAATGGGGATGAACCAGGGCCTTGGCCCTGAGCCACAACCTCAGCCCTTTTTAATTTTTTGAGACACTGTCTTGCTAAATCCCTAAATTGCCCAGGCTGGGCTCAAAGTTGTGATCTTCCTGCCTCAGCCTCCCAGAGTGCTGGGATTACAGGCCAGTGATTCACCTCTTTGACGGACACATTGGGCAACCAGTGTCCTGCTATGTCACTGGATGAGAATCTCTCCGACCAGCAACCTTAGGGAATCCCACACTCATGCTTGATTCACTGGAATGCTAGCAACAGCCAGCTGCTGGCCTTGAGAGCTTTACAGTTCTTCCCACTCACTGTCCAGGCTAAGGATCTGAGAGGCTGAGGGCTGAGCAACCTGAGCCAGGTCTGATTTCAAAACCTGGGATCGTCACTGATTCTTCCAGGCAGACGGGTCCATCAGTAAATACAAAGTTGTCTTGAGTAATAGACCTTTTGGCTACCTGGTAAATACTTTTTTTTTTTTTTTTTTTTTTTTTTTTTTTGGTACCAGGGATTGAACTCTGGTACCTGCGGTTTCAAGAGTCAAGGGTCCACTGAGCTAAATCCCTCACCTGCTCCCTGGTAAATATTTGAATCCTGTTATGTAGAAATGAATACCAAAGATCACCAGATTGAGCCTCCACCCCTGACAAAAGTCCTGGAGGAGGGGGAAAGTCCACCAGGGAAAAGGAAGTCCCGAGGAAGCGGTGAGATGTGGGGAAGAGCTCACACCCAGGGGAATTCTCCAGAAGATGCCATCAACTCGCTGCCACCCTGAACCTGGTAGCCCGGAGAAGGACGGGGCTTAGCAGTCGTGCAGGAGTCTACTCTGGCTCCTCAGTAGGCCATTTGCAATCCTCCCCCACTCTCCTGATCTTTTATCATCTCTCTTTTCCCTAGGGGCTCAGGTAAAGCTTTCTCATCTCTGTTTTGTTCCAGCCCTTTCCTCTCTGCCTACAGGCTGTTTCCAGCAATCCCCTGCCATGCTGTACCCTTAAGTTTCTTGTCTGGACTTGTCTCTGACAGGGGTTTTAGGTGTGTGTGTGTTTGTGTGTGCATTATTGGGAGCGGAACCCAGGCCTCTCACAGGCCCGTGAGCACTCTGCTGCTGCGTCCCCAGCAGTTGTCCACTCTGAAAGAGTACTGTTACCGTGGCTGTGACTTGAGAAACTCTTGATTTCAAGTTTTGTTCCCCTGGTTTGGAGTGAGGGGTTTTTAAGCCAGATGTTCTCCACTCTCCTTTCCAGCAGCCTCTGTTGGCCGCGCCCTACCTAGCACCTAGCCTTGCTCTAGACCAGTGATGGCGAACCTTTAGCGCTTTCAGTGATACAAACACGCTGTGGCGTGCGTACCATAGATTCACCACCACTGCTCCACCATCCAGACAGAAATGACCTCAGCCAGCTGCTCAGGAAAGGCACATGGTGGGCTTGGTAAGAGAGGGAAGGGTGCAGTGCAGACCCCAGTGCATTGGTAGGGCTTTAAAGGGCAGTGCTCCCAGAATCTGGAACAGTCCGAGAAGGCAGGGACCAGGGCTAGATCCTCTGCTTTTCCAGAACCTGGCATGTGGATATTCACGGTAATGTCACCCGCTGGGTAAATGAAAGCCAACGACACCCTGCCTCAGGACCCCTGGCCCGGTGTGCAGTCTCGCCAGGTCCTAGAGCTGCCTGAGTCCCTATTCATTTTGCCCTGCCTACCCCACTCTCAAACTCTGGCCACACGCTTGGGTACATTTAATCTCTTTTAATCCTCAGATGGACATTTATTTCTCTTTACACATCAGGAAATTGGAGGTCAGAGGGTGAAGACACTTAACTAAGGCCCTAGAGCTGGTTGTCTGACCTGTGGCTTCAATCAAGGATTGTGAGACTTGGCAAGCAGAATTCTGAGGATGCAAAGGTGGAGAGAGGAGATGAAGATAGAAAAGAGGAGGGAGCCCGAGATATAGCTCAGTGGCAGAGCTGTGGTTTACCATGTTCAATCCTCCAGCACCATAAAAAAAAAAAAAAAAAAAAAAAAAAAAAGAAAGAAAGAAAGAAAGAAAGAAAAGACGAGAGCCAGTGAGAAAAGACAGAACAGGAAAGCAAAGAGGAGAGGGGAAAGTGTCTCAATCCCAGGCCATCATGACTATATTTGTCTTCTGTTGCCATGTAACAAATAACCACAAACTCTGTTGCTTAAAACAACACACATTTATTCTCCCATAGTTACTGTAAGTCAGAAGCCCAGCTGCAGCTTAGCTGAGTTTTCTGCATCAGGTATTAGCTAGGACCCAGGTATGGAGTTGGCTGGGATTGTGGTCTCATCAGAAGTTTTATGGGGGAAAAGACTTGCTTCCAGCTCCTCCAGTAGTTGACAGAATTCACTTCGTTGTGGCTGTAGGACGTCCCATTTTCTTTTAGGGTTTTGGCCAAGAGTCCCTCTCAGCTCTTAGAAACTTGCCACATGTCCCCATCTATGTAGGCCCTGGAGTCTGACTAGACAAGAGCCTGGTGTATATCACAGCCTGATGACAAAGTCACATCTCACTGCCTTTGCAAACATCTTAACCTGATGTCAAAGTGACATTTTATGACCTATGCTGCTTTCCATTGGTTAGAAGCAGTTTGCAGGTCTCATCTGCCCAGGGGAAGGGTATGATCAAGTATGATCAAGTGGACCAGGGTCTGACTCATTGGCCTTGTATCTAGACTATTTTGAAGTTTTTTTAAATCTTTATTAAGTTTATTGGTACATTTCAGGTATACTGTACAGTTACATTAGAATCTTGTACCTTTACATAACTTATCTTGGTTCTTATTTTTCCCCATTCCCCAGCCCTCCCTTCAGCCCCTTCACCCTTCCCTACTTACAGACTTTATTTCCATGCTTTTTCTTTTTCACATATTTTTTTGCCTTTTCCTTTTCCCTTTCTCCTACCCCTTCTACTTCCTCTACCCCTTTAGACCTTTTTCTTCCTATTTCACATTATCAATTACACGTTTTGATCTTTATTTACACTTTTAGTTTCTCACACCAGAGAAACTATTTGGTATTTACATGTGTGACTTACTGATTTCACTTGAGTATTTTGAAGTTTATGAAATGTGAGTCTCTCTGTGTCTCTGATCTCATTTGTGTCCACCATGATTGCTCTACCCAGAGTTGCATCCTTTTCTCTTCTGAGGCGCCAGCTCTAGGAAGGGCTGTGGACCATCTGAGCAATCTGCAGGACGTCTAGCCTGCTGGGCTCTAAAAGCTTGCTATAGGTTTCCCGGGAGGCTGAGAAGCCTTTCTTGCCTTAACATCATGATTTTCTGCCCTGAGCATAATTCTGTAACTCCTGCTGCAAACTTGCCCCTTGGTGGTGCAAAGCTTGCCCTGGCCCTCTGTGCCTCAGGTCGACTCACTGGAACCAAATGGACACTGCTGTTCTGCATGCCAAGGGCCCGAGGAGACAATAAGAAGGGGCTGTGAAGGCCAGAGGATTGGAAACAAGCCTCCGCCATCCTGGCATTTTATAAGGGGGAAACAGCCCGGAAGGGGTGATGGGAGTGTTTGAGCCCTTGCCCAGAGCCATCTGTCTTCCCCACACCTGACTCAGATGGTGCAGATGAGTTCACACTGAAGCAGGTTGCAAAGACAGATCGCGGGGGCCTTTGGGCTTTTTTTTTTTGGTGCTGGGGATTGAACTCAGGCCCTTGTGCTTGCAAGGCAGGCGGCAGAACTACTGAGCCAAATTCCAAGCCCCTAACTATATATATATTTTTTTTAAGGGGAGAAAGGAAGAGATATAGTTAGAGAACTCTGCCCATAACAAGGCATGTATGTATGTGGGAGAGAGCAAGGTGGAGAACAAGAGGCCTGGCTGGGAGATAAAGAGCTAGAGGAAAGAGCCTGCATCAGCTAGTGGCTGTGCAGTGGGTCTATGCTGGGGATTTGAGATCTGTTTAGAGTTTGGACTGCCAGCTTTGTGACTGAGTACATTTTCTGAGTGATGTGGTTATGCTGGTGGCCTTGCGGGGGGCAGGTTAGAGAAGGTTTAAGGGAGTGATGTTATGAACGTGACCCAGTGGAAAACCCAGCCAGACAGGGTGGGGGATACCAAGAGAGACACACAGCGACAATCAAACTTCAGGGTTTAGTTGTTTGTTTCCTGTGACAGAGAGGCAGGCTGCTCTGCCCTCACGAGTGCAATCAGTAACATCTAGACTTCGAGAAACGCTCCTGTGTCATCAGGCAACTGGAGGGAAAGACAGGGCCCAGGGAAGACTCAGAATTTTAATGGGCTTTTATTAGACACATCAAAGTTTTAGAAACTAGAAAGTCTGGGGCTGGGGATGTAGCTCAGAGGCGCTGCACCTGCCTTTGCAAGGCAAGGTCCTGAGTTCAATCCTCAGTACCAAAAAACCCCTCAAAAACTACAAAGCATGATGTGTCATGATGCACACCTGAGTGATGAAATGGCAAAGTAATACATGGAAAGCCTGGTGCAGTAATCCCAGCACCGAGAGGCTGAGGCAGGAGGGATGCAACGTCAAGCTCGGCCTGGGCAGCTTATCAACATAGCAAGATCATGCCTCAAAATAAAAAATAAGAAAGGGTAGGGATATAGCTCAGTAGTAGAATCCCCTGGGTTCTGACCCCAGTACTGTATTGGGGGAAAAAAAATACATGGAAGTGACTTACACAAAAGTCAGAAGAGTTACTCTGGGAGAAAGGCTCTGGGCGTGTGGTAGGTTTCTGAGGCGAGGTTCTGTTGGCACGGTTCCATTTCTTGGTTCTGGGTGGTGGTTGTAAGGGCATTTGCCTCGCCATGACTTCAGCTCTAGAGGAAGTTTCAGTTGTGAAGGGAATAATAATACAGAGGAAGCCAGAGATGGAAGATGTGTCCCTGCGCCTACATGCGTGTGTCTTAATGAAACAGGCAGGGGCCTCTGTGCGATCATTCTTGCTCCTTTTCCCATTTTGCTCCATGCTTTAACAAGCTCTTCTGCTTCCTCTGTGAAGCAGGAAGAGGAACAGTTACTCTTTCCACGTCACAGTTGGAAAAACAGGCCCTGGTATGTGATTGCCAGTCACGCTACTCATCAAGGGCAGAGGTTCTCGAGCCCCGGCCTCCTACCTCCTGTCCCCAGCCTGGGGTGAGCTGGGCCAGGCCCCTTATCTCAGGCCAACCCCTCCCCTGCAGGAATCACAGAGATTCTGATGAACAGACCTCGAGCCTGCAATGCTCTGGGGAACGTCTTTGTGAGTGAGGTAGGAAAGGGGGCGCCTGGGTGGGGCCCCGTGGGGCTGAGCTGGGGGTGTCTGACAGGGTGCCTTCTACAGCTGCTGGACGCTCTGGCCCGGCTGCGTGAGGACCAGCAAGTGCGTGTCCTGCTCTTCAGAAGCGGAGTGAAGGGCGTGTTCTGTGCAGGTGGGTCCCCACGCCAGTGTCTGCAGGGATGGGGAGAGGGGACTAGGTCAGCTCCAGCACAGGATGCATTTTTCCCACTTTACAGATGTGAGCTCAGGGTGGTCAAATGCGCCTAGTGGGGGATGGAATAGAATTCATTTTGATGTTGGCCCTTCTGACCCCCCCCCACACACACCCCAGCTCTTTCTGCTACACCACTCTTTGTTCCAGCCCTTCACTGAAGAAACGACAAGGTCACTTACCAAGGTGGGACTCTGTGCCCTTTGTCCACCCATAGAATCCCATTCCTGTCGCCAAAACTCAACCATACCTGTGCCATCCAGTCCTCACACAAGGCAGGCACCATGAACTTCTTCAAGAGCAGGAGAAAAATGTACCCCAGGCCAGGAAAGAAGAGCAAGTCAAGGAGCACAGCGGGGGCTGAGAACTGACTCTGGAGGTGTCCTGGAGAGGGGCAGCAGGGCCAGGGCCACGCATTCATCTGTTCCTAGACCAGGGGCTGTCTCCATCTTTGGTTACTCTGAGTAATGCCCTGTGCATTACTATGCAAGTGTCCGAGTTCCCCTTGTCGGTCCCTTTGGGTACATACTCAGGACTGGCCTCCTACGTAGTTTTGTTGCACTCAGGGAAGAACCACCAGACCCTTTTCCATAACATTCTCACCAGCAGTTGTCTGGGATTCCACTTTCTCCACATCCATGCCGGCACTTTTTGATTTCTAGTACTGGGGATTGAACACAGGAGCACCCTACCACTGAGCCGTATCCCAGCCCCTTGATGTTTTATGTGATGACCCTCCCAGTGGTTCATGGCATCTCACTGTGGGTTTGATTCGCATTTTCTTGCAGACCCGGGACGCTGAACATCTTTTTGTATGCTTATTGACCCTCTGTATAGTTTCTCTAGAAAAATACCTTTTCATGTAGTTTGCCCACTTTGAATTGTTCCTTTCCTTGTTAACTTGAAGGAGCATGTTTGTTTCGGTTTGGGTTTTTCTGCTTTTTTGCAGTGCTGAGGATTGACTGTGGGGCCTAATGCATGCTAGGCAAGTGCTTTACCACTGAGCTGTCCCAAGCCCCAGTATTAATCCTGTAGAGATTATAACTGCAAATACTTTCTCCTGTTCTGTAGCTTGTCATCTCACTCTTGATGCTGTCCTCTGATGCACAAGCTGTTCACACTGATGAAATCTGTCTTTTTGCTGTAGCTGCTGCTCTTTTTAATTTTATTTTTTGGTACTGGGGATCAAACTCAGGTCCTTGTGCTCGTGAGGCAGGCGACAGAACCATTGAGCTAACAGCCCTACTTCTCTTTTTGACACACCTTCCTCTGGCTCCCGTGACTGCATTTCCTGGTGTTTTTCCTCCTCTCCGGCTGCTTCTCCTCTGGTCTCCTTTGTTAGATCTCTGACCACTGGGCGTTCTGGACCAGGCCGTTCCCTAATTGCAGGCACCAATCCCTTGCCCTGCAGGTGCAGACCTAAAGGAGCGGGAGCAGATGAGTGCTCTGGAGGTGGGGGTCTTTGTCCAGCGACTCCGAGGCCTGATGAATGAGATCGGTGAGGGTCTGGGAGGAGGGTGGAGGATTGGGGGGGGTCCCTGCTGCCGCCAGCCCCTCCCCTCCCACCATCCTCTACTCTGAAGAGAACTCTGCTTTTGTTTTATGAGACAGAGTCTTGCTATGTAGTTCAGGCTGACCTGGAACTCAGTTTCCCAGGCTGGCCTCAAACTCATGGTGCTTCTCCTGCCTCAGCCTCCCAGGGCTGGGATTACAGGTGTGTGCACCACCACGCCTGGCCCTCTTTCTGTTTTGAGCCCTGTGGGGAGACAGATGGGATGGGCATAAGGAATTCCACCAGGAAGAAGGGACAAGAGGCTCCAGACAGCGTTTGTACCATTGAGAACCCTGGCTATTTAGCCTTGAGCCCCACTACAGTGACCCTGCCCCACCCCAGGACTCAGACGCAGGTATTCTAGGAGTCAGGCTCACCGAGCATGCTTTCCAGCTTGAACAGTTGCTGTACCCTTTGTCCAGAACACCCCTTCTTGGCTATCTGAGCTTTCACTCATCTTTTAAGACCTCCAATACCCCCTCCAGGAAGCCCTCCCAACCCACCCTCCAAGCTTCCTTTTTTTTAGGAGCACTAAGTTATTGCCTGATTGTACATTTGCCTTCTCCGTTAGTCCAGGCCTAATGGGAGCAGGGGTCACATCTGATTCAGATCTGTGTTCCAAGCCCCAGGATGGGGCTTGGATCACACAGGCAGGTCCCAGGGAGGCCAGCGCGAGAGTGGGGCAGAGCGAGGACCATCCAGCCTAGACCCCATTCCCATTCCCCAGAGGCCCCAGGACCTTCCTTGGTGGGGAAACCAACTTCTCCAATAATCTGGCTTAGGCACCAGTAAGGGGTCCAACCTGGGAACCTCTGTCCTGCCGGCTGGGGTCTGTGTCCCAATGCTGCCAGGACCACACAGACTGAGCCCCTCTTCATCCCACAGCAGCCTTCCCTGCGCCTACCATTGCAGCTATGGATGGGTTTGCCTTGGGCGGAGGCTTGGAGCTTGCCTTGGCCTGTGACCTCCGAGTGTCAGGTACTGCAGTGCTGAGGCGGGGTCGGGAGGTGAGGGTGAGTGAAGCACAGTGAGTCGAGGGGCTCTGCAAAGTTAGCCACTGCTCTTGACCTTCCAGCCGAAAGGTAAACGGAGGCAGGGTAGGGCACACAGGGAGCACAAGCTCCCTCCAGCTGCTTAAGAGCCTATCACCTATAAGAACAGCTTCTCTCACCTTGCGGCCCTGTTTCAGGCATCTAACTTGCAGTGTCTGGGAGACCTGAGAGTGGAGAGCCCCAGAAGCCATAGCTTCTTTGCCCACACCACACAGGTCAGGTGGCCTATGCTGAGGAAACTCAGGAGCCCTGTGAGTAGTCAATCAAGGAAAGCTTCTGAGGAAGCACAGCTGAGGAGGACACGGAAAAGGAGGGTGTAGACTGGAACCATCAGGAAATTTCAGGCAGGGATAAGAAGCTCAGAGGTATTATCAGGCGGGAGCAGGAGCTACGGACACTCAAGGCCAGGCCAGAAACAACGGTACCTGAGACAGAGAATCCATTAACCCACCAACAGGCAGGCATCAGGCACCTTCTAGGAGCCCCTTGTTCAAGCGCCATCAGCCCATGTGATCTTTTCCCACTCTACATGCAGAAGAGGGCCTAACATCTTTTCCTACCCTCGAGACTCAGAAGGGCAGACTTGCTGGTTTTGCCCAACTCCAGCAGTGGGGTCGGGGAGCCCAAGCCTAAGTCTCCCGACTTCCAGGCTGGTCCCCAATGGAGGCAGAGTCTGGAGAGGTCTCGGTGTGGGCAGACCACGATGGAACTGGCTGGGGAGGCAGGTGGAGACTAGAGGTGGGTGTCTCTCCCCAGGAATAAAAAGTGGTGTACAAGGGGTGGGACAGGGAGAGATTCACTCTGTTCCTGTTCAAACAGCTTCCACAGCTGTCATGGGGCTGATTGAGACCACTCGAGGGCTGCTCCCAGGGGCAGGTAAGTCACCCACAGCCCTGCCCTTCTGTATCTGCCCAGTTCCGCTGCACCCAGGTCCTTCCCAGTTTCCCTTTCGGCTCCTCGTAGTGGGCTCTGCCCTCCCATCCTGACTCAGCCTGCACCTCGGAGAAGGCCTGGCCATCTGCAGTCTTGGCCTTCTCAGAATTCCCTTCTCAGAGAGCCTGACTTACCACCCTCACCCCTCCATCCTGCCAGGAGGGACTCAGAGGCTGCCACGCTGTCTGGGGGTGGCCCTGGCGAAAGAGCTCATCTTCACTGGCCGGCGACTGACTGGGATGGAGGCCCACGCACTGGGGCTGGTGAACCACGCAGTGGACCAGAATGAGGCGGGCGATGCTGCCTACCACCGAGCACGAGCCCTGGCCCAGGAGATCCTGCCCCAGGTGTGGTGCCAGAGGGAGGGACTGGGGGGGGGCACCTGTTCAGCCATCTAGTGAACAAAACCAAAGTGAATTTTCATTTTGAATTACCATGAAAATTGAATCTGGCCCAGAGTAACACTGACAGCATGGCAGAGAGGGCAGGGAGAGAGCCAAGGCCGGCGGTCCATGCTCAGCCTCCGGTTCTGGCCAAGTCAGACGACTTACTGGACCTGAACAAAGGTGAGCCAGTGAGCTGCAGATGGACCTGGGCAGGATGTTTGCCCCCAGTTCACAGGCACCAGCCAAGGCTGGCACTGCTTGTTCTGCAGCTGGGCCTTGAGGGAAGGAATGAAGGTAACTGATCACCTTTCAAGGTTACTGGCTTCGTGGCTGGGAGCCCTTCTTTGTGGCAATTAGACATTCTGAGTGCCACCGGGGCACCTGCTCCTCCATGCTTTTATTGTCACCCCAGAAAGAACACTGAAAAATGCATAGCTCTGGGCATGAAGGTGGCTTCTATCTTCACATTGTGTTTCAAGAAGAAATTGGCCAATGTCTGGGCACTGAAATACTACATCAGCCTGTAGCCTCAATCTGCTCCTCACCGCAGGTTTCAGGCATCTAACTTGCAGAGTTTGGGTGAGAATTCAGAATGGAGAGCCGAAACCACCGAAAACAGCATCAACAAAATGGCTCTAATCCAGATAGTTTCCCTAAGGGTTTGGAATTGGTCTCTATGACACACACCTATAATCCCAGCACTCAGGAAGTTGAGGCAGGAGGGCCCTGAGTTTCAGGCCAGGCTGGGCTACATATGAGTTCAAGGCCAGCTGGACTAGAGTGAGACTTGAATGTATGGGGAAGGGGTTGTTCCCCAGGACACAGATTTAGGAGCCTGCCCAGGAGCAACCCTACCAGCTCCAGGGTCCAAAGCCCCAGGGCGATACCAGGATCTTCTCCAAGGGCCTGTGGAGCTAAGGGGAGGGCTGGGGATTTAGCTCAGTGGTTCTGCCGCCTGCTTTACAAGCACAAGGTCCTGAGTTCGATCTCAGTTACCAAAAAATTAAAAAATAATAAGCTTTTCACTAAGAGGGGCAGAGCAGGAAGGGCTGAGGGGTGGGGAGGTCTCATGTTTCCATAAAGATAAAAGCAGCTGAAATGGAGTTAGCATTCACTGATTTATAATAAATCTTGACGCCAGCCCTTACCAAGAACCTCTTGCGTGTCACACAGTTATGAGAACAAGGCAGCTGAGCTCAAGATCCTCATTTTTTTGTGAGAAGACAGACCTAGAAAAGTTAAGGGACTTGCTTATCAAGGTCACAAAGTTATTGTGACATCAGAGAAAACAGATAACACCGGCTTTTTGGGATTTATCTTGCATAACAGAGAGTACAATAGAAACTATTTTTTTATATTTTTTTGCATGTCCATGTTTATAGCAGCACAATTTGTTTTTTTCCTTTGCTTTTTTATTTATTTATTTTGGTGGTACTGGGATTGAACTCAGGACCTTATTTGCAAGGCAGGCACGGTGCCACTGAACTAAATCCCTGGCCCAGAAACTGCTATTTTTAAGAATGCAGAATAGGTACAAATTTTTTTAACTTTTTTGTACCAGGGATTGGACTTGGGTCCTTGCCTTTGAGAGGCAGATCTCGGCACCACTAAGCTAAATCCCTGTGTGTGCTTTTTTTTTGTTTTGTTTTTGAGGCAGGGTATTGCTATCTAGTTTAGGCTGGCCTTGAACTCACAGCAGTCATCATGCCTCAGACTCCGAATGCTGGGATTACAGGTATTTACCATTATACTTCATTAAAATTTTTTAAAACTTTGAAACAATACATAATACTTTCAAGTACTAGGAGTTGGTTTCTTGTTTTGTTTTTTTGAGACAGGGTCTCACTATGTAGTTGAGACTGACCTGGAACTATGTAGCCCAGGCTGGTCTCAAACGCACAGCAATCCTCCTGCCTCAGCCTCCCGAGTGCTGGATTTACAGGCATGCACCACCATGCCTGGCTCAAGTAATAGGAATTGAACCTAGGGCCTTCAAACTGAGCTACAACCCCAGCCTTTTTTTTTGAGACAAGGGTCTCCCTAAATTATCAAGTTGCCCAGTCTAGGCTTGAATTTTTAATCCTCCTGCTTTAGCCCCTCCCCTCCCCGCTAGGATTATAGGCATGTGCCTGCACACCTGATTTATAAAACATTTTAAATCCTAAAAAATTTTACAAACACGTTACAAAACTGTTAAAATGTAAGTCTATAAAATTATAAACCATAAATCACTTTAGTATTGTTTGAATTTTTTTTGAGGAGAGGTTTTGGCTGTTTGTAGAGGTTTCAGTCCAGTTGGCTGGCTCGAAGGCAGGGTGGCGTGGCAGGTGGGCACGGCAGAGGAGAAGCAGGGAGCCATCAGAGGAGTATAGGGAAAGGGAAAGGGGACGTTACCAGAGACCCCTGCAGTGGTCCTCGTCTCCTGCAACGTCCACGAGATAGGAAAGGGGGAAATGAAAGCAGCACAGAGACTTGAGAAGAATGCTTTATAAATCAGGTGTGCAGACTGCTGCCCAGAGCAACGAGAGAGGACTTCCAGGCATCCGGTGTTGTAAGTGTGGGAAAGGGGAGCTGGGCAGGCCTTGGGACACCTGCTGATAACAAGTATCAAGCAGGCAGGACTGTAGAAGAGGCCACAAGTCTATCTTTGCTGAAGAGAACAAACGGTTAATTCAGAAGGGGAGAATTTAGTTGCAGTCATTTGACCTTGACTAGGAATGAACTCAGCCGAGCTCTCTGCTACTTCCAACGTGACACAGTCGAAGTGTGGAGGGGCAAGAAGCTTGTGCCACTGCAGCCTGTAAATACCGGGCAGAGGGGTCTCTACAGAGGAGGAAGTGTAACCGAGTTTTGAAGTGCTGGGGTCTCCTTCTGGAGGTGGTTTCTAGGTTCTTTCTGTCCTGAGCAAAGAATTGGTCAAGATAAGCACAAATGTTAGCGAAGTTTTATTAAGGGTAAGAAAAGAAACAGGCTCTGTGGAGCAAGTTTGGGCCAAGTAAAAGGAAAAGTACATCCTACAGCACAAGGGTGGCCATCCGTACCACAGAGATCACGGTGGCCTTAAGATTACACTTTAATTAACCATAAAAACAAGTAATAGGGAGCCAGGGATTTAGCTCAGTGGTGCCGCTGCCTGCCTTGCAAGCACAAGGACCTGAGTTCTAGCCCCAGTACCAAAAAAAAAAAAAAAAAAAAAAACTAATTGGGTGCAATGGCAAATGCCTGTGATTCCAGCCTCCTGGGAGGCTGAGAGAAAAGGGCAAATTAAAGCCAGACAAGGCAATTTAGGGACATCCTTCTCAAAAGAAAACAAAACAAAACCACAAAATAAATTACAAGAAGCATTGGGTATGTGGCTCAGCAGTCCTGGTGTTCAATCAGTACTGGAAAGCAGGCACGGTAAGTCTTTATAACTGAGATGTTCTTTTCAGGGCAGGGTGGAGGGCTCACTATATGTTAAGTGGAGACTCCCTGCCCTTGCCAGGGAAGTTGAAGCCTTTAGGTTTCTGTGTTTGGAGCCTCTGGATGCATACAGAAACCAGGATGACTCATGGGAGTGACAGGCTGCAGCTACCCCAGGGAGCTGTCTAGCTGTACCTGGAGACTAGTATGGTTTGCCTTTTGGTATAAACTGGGTAACAGGATCTCAAGATGATCTATGTTTCCAAATGTTCCAGTCAATGGCATTCAACTAATACAATTACAACGTGTATTATTTCAGTATTTAAAAGGAGCTTTGTATACCAAAGCATCAGCCTGCTAAAAATTAGGTACTATGGTTACTAATCTCACAGCTGGGGCCTTGTGGTGTAGCCTGAACAACAAACGTACAACTAACTTCCTGCTGCTACTGGGAATTGTGAATGAAAGATTTCCCAGGTTAGCTCCAAGTGACAGGCTGGCCAAAAGCAATAAGGAGGGAGCCGAATGGCTGGAAAGTTTGCTCAGGCCAGAAAAAAAGCTACCAGTAGTATGTGGGTATGAGAGGCTCATAAATTAACTTAGATTTCCCCTTTAAGTAGTAAATATACATTAGCCTTAGCCCGGGATTTAGCTCAGCGGTTCTGCGGCCTGCTTCGCAAGTGCAAAGACCTGAGTTCGATCCCCGTACCAAACGAGAAAAAAAAAAAAA